ATAATTATTGTGTTCGAAAGTGTAAAATAAACCTTGTATGCTTTTATTTTATTGTTCCACCCCATGGATTTAGTCAGGTGTTTGGTACGCCTAATATACAGTCGGGTGTACCTAACTATCTTGCTGTCATCTTGCTTATATCAGATAGGTAGTCGATAGGAAATCTATAGGAACAGTATGATTATTTTTTTAGTATAATGATTATAATTTATTCAATTGAATAAAACGGTCTGTAGCGCGATAGTACAGATCTTTATAAACTAGAACAATGTTACAGAAGAAATACAACATTAAATACAATAGTCGATAAGTATATTATGTATGGAGAACATTTACAATATGTATCTTAAATAGTTAAATATAATAATTTACATACCTACCTTCCAGTATTACATATAAACGTTTTTTTCAGGTGATCATTTATATCGCCCTGAAGATGAGAAGCAAAAAATAAAAATCAACTCTCGTCGAGAGTTTATAACTGTTTTTTTTATTTCACAGAGCCATAGGAAGAGAGAGTAAAGTTTAAAAAAAATAGTTTGTGTTGTACAGCACGCTGTGTACTGATATATAAAACATGGGTGTAGAACGGTTGTTGTAAGCTGGAATATTAAAAGGATTAAGGAATGCAATTTAGATCAGGAGCATAAATATAGGTACCATAAATTATCTTGAAAATAAAAGATATATCAGCTAGTTGACATCTGGACGACAATGTCCCCGGAAGATAATGCTGGAATGCTTAGAAAGGGCCTAATTTGTGTAAAGGTAATCGTGGTTATCGATGGTCGTATTGAATTTGAATGCTACATATTTTGAAAACCGATTTTGTAAATGTTCAATAAAATCAATGTCAGTTTAAGTCGTTTAAGAGTATGTGTTTTATATTATAATGAGATATATTATAACATAAAAGCAACTAAAATGTTATCATTTATATATTTTATATAATATAAATACAATGAATTCAATACATACAATTTTGATTTCATTGTGTATAAAACATAATATTATCTATATGCATACCTAATGGCAAACATTTTCACGTCTCTACAATTTTAAATAATAGCTGGTAAAAGAGCCAAAAAAATTATTTTAAAGGATACATCGGCGGATATTAAAATATGCTTGAAAAAAATGTCACAAAAATATGTGTACTTCAAATGCACTCTTAAAATATTTATTATGTGGTTCTATGCTTAATTTTTTTGAATTTCAGTATTTCAATTAACAAAACTTGCGAGGAACCACAAATTAAATTTGTAATATGCAATTAGCATACATTCTTAATCAACATTTATAGAAAACATAACTAAAACAAGTAAGTAATATAAATATTGAAAATTTGAATTAAATATGAAAATTTAATTTATCTACGAATAAATTATGAAATACGGTTATTCACTTTTCGTTTTTGAATTACAAAGAAACACCGAAATTAATTTTATCGAAAATTTAAGTTCCGTAAATATTCTTGTTTTTTGTTTTCCCGATTATTAATAACATTACAGGTAGTTTTTACTTTTTTTGCTTTCCTCCCCAGTCCCCTGGATCCTATAATTATTTATATCAGAAACCACTCTTTAAGTTAAATATTGAAGAATTTTTTCTTCTTTAAAAAGATACTTCAGAGTTCTGACACAAAAAAAACACTCATTGTTGTGCATATCTAAATGGAATATAAACTAAATATTTAGTGTAGTATACCTAGTATAGTAGTATACACATAAATACATAAAACAGCTTAATACACAGTGACGGCTATAATATAAGTCCAATTGAGATTTTTTTTTAATGATTAACTATCAGAAATCAGAAATTCAGAACTAAACCATAATTATATATTTATCAATATAATTCCTGTAAAAATACAATAGAAAAATACACTGATTATTATATTATACTAATTATTATTAGTTGATAACAACTTATCTACAAATAATTATATATTTTACATTCACGTATAATGGTTTCGAATGTTTTGATAATTATTTTCAAGTATGAATTTCTGAACAATGAATACCTATTTTTTAATTTTTTTTATTAAAAAAACTGAATTGCGTTGTATGTATTATACAATATATCACAATAAATTCTATACAATTATGACTGATTGTATGTTGCGGTTAATGATATATTATTGTGATAATTATTTTGTTCAATATTTATATACTACATATAATTCTATAAACATCATACATTTATATACTTATTACTCGTAACTTTATATTTTGTCTTTAGCCTTTAGTAGGCACCTACAATTTTGGAGTGCTTAAGTTTATGGATACAAATTATAATGATACTCATTTTGGGGAAATATGATTTGGCAAATTTTTGGAATTGGAGAGGGGTTATTTACACCGCTGGTTGACGTTTGCGCATCACTATTGTTAGTTTCGACCTTTTTTGCGAGACAGTTGAGCATCGTTTGATTTTTCAGTTATATTTCGTTTGAGCATCAATCGTTTAAATGTTAAACTTAAGTTAAAAGGTCGTACGTCATTTGTGCACCAATATTATTCAACAATAAAACTGAAAAAATGTGTATACCCAAAAACTCAAGTTATTTTCTAACTTTAATCTTAAAATGTATACATTTCTAAATTACAATAATTTTTCAAATATTTTATAGATATTCATGCTTTAAAATATATTTGTATTGTAGTAATATTGTGTACGTCAAAAACTTGACTACACTCAAAAACATTGAGCTTTAGTTTAGGTGTTTAGGTGAAATAAACAGGTTTCATTTTGTAAAAATAACGGGACATTACAATATACATGCAAGTATTGATTTTTATTATTATGTTTAGTGCTTAGTTAATACATTTTTATACAAATGATTTTTTATTCATTCTTACTCAAACTACATGTATATTTGTATATTTTTTTTGTTTTAGGTAAAAGTAGGAATTACCTATGTATCTTTATAATTTTTAAACTTAAAAATCTTAAATTATTCATAGTATCCATAGACATTAAACGTAATATGTATATTATAAAATATTTTTTTTTCATACCCTTCTATCGTTCAGTATATTGATGTGCATTCGACGTACGATAATTTGGTGCAAGTAAACTGACAATGCGCAAATGATAATAGTACAGTGATACGTAAACGATGTACTATATTTTGGCACTTGTTAACAGACGATGCTTAAATGATATACGGCCATTGGCCATTTGTATTACGCCACATAGCGCCTTGTAATAGAATTAGGTATGATTAAATGATGTTAAATGTCAATGAAAATGGGCATAGCTACTTAATAGTTCTAGGTACCTGGGGCTCATTATCCTAAATTGTATTATCAACAAGCAAATTAAGTTACAACATAGGTACTTCGTCAATAATGTTCACAATTCTTATAAGCACAATGTATTTATGTATTGTCCTTTATTGATATCTTAAAATAAGCTTTCAATTTAAAGTTGGGCACCTATTCTGGTTTACTGATCGGCGATTGCCTCCATGATTTTTTTAACTGCCGATTTAGTATAAGTTTTTTGATTGATTTCATGACTCATTTTAAAAACATACTTGTTGTCTTCAAATATCGCAATAATCATAAATCTCTTTATGTTTTGAATTCCGCATCTGTCAACCGATCAACATCACAAAATTCACTACTTTATAGTACCTTAAAGCCACTGTGTAAACGAAATTGTATAGTCGAAGACTATAATAGGAGTATAAACTTGAATACTACTTATTATTTTAGGTTTTCATCGCAAATAATTCTGTATTCTTAATTTCTTTCCTTTTAAACATACACCAAAGGTAGGTAAGAGATATCTTTCTTCCACTAACTGTAAATATTAATAATTCTTCATTATGTATGTATTATACGTCGATAAAAATACATAGAAGTCTCCATAGGTTAAGGTAGGTACATAAAAAAAATGTATAGAACGTCTCAAACTAATTCCGGCATATCATAGATGCCCCCCCCCTCATTTGGATTTTTTAATCAATCATCATAATCATTATGTATAATATAAAATACCACAATGTTTGCATTTTAAAAATTTTCATATGATAAGGCTGCCGTTAGCTGCTGGCTGCAGCTTTTATAATAGATATAATAATAAATAATTAGTAACTGGAACCGACTGGTTATAACCGATTAATAATTAGTATGATATATTAATATCGTAATAAGTTATTGATAATAAAAAACTTAAACTTTTTTATCATTATTTTGATTGTTTTCTAGTTTGTGTTTAATTGGTGATTAGTTTAGTACCTAGTTTGTTTCGAAAATTATACTTGCAGGCGACTCTCTAGAGTTCTAGCAATTGATAATTTATCGTTCTAAGACTTCAGCTCTCAAAATATTTTTTCACTTCACTCGAATCATTGATTTCTATCTAATCAATGCTCGAATACACTTACAACCCTTATTATAAGTATCAGATTAGAACTGTTCAACTGTACGTCAGTACATATATTTTTCAACACCTAACTGAATGGACCAATTGAATCTATGTACCAAAATATTTCAAAACAATAGACTTGGCTGTTGGCTGTGGATCGCTAGAGTGCTCGACGCTCATACCACCTTACACACGTATACAGACATTCCCTTTTATTATATTATGTAGATAATGGACAATGATATTTCAGATACCTATTTGTATTTATACTATTTAGTATTTTGTATCATAATAATATTATTATGTTGCATAATAATATTGTTAGCGTTGCCGGCAGGCTGTCTTGCCGCGCCGCAAAGCCGGGAGGGACGCCAAAAGGTTACCGCGGTTAGTGTGCGCACTTGAATAGGTACCCATATACCTGTACCGAGTTTGTTGACAAAAAAGATCTGCGACCCGCGTCTGCGCCGTTCGATCACCGAGTATGGAAAATGCTGGCGTAGTGCGTACAGTGCAGCAGCTGTCACACATAAATTATAATATTATAATATTGTTATAGTTGTACCGTACGCGTCTCGTCGACTAGTGTACAAAAAAAAAAGTTGAATTCATCATACGACATTCGCATAATATTATGTAATTTGTTAATATTGTGAACGACAATATATTATTTATATTGTTTATTAATGTGCGCAGTTGACAATTTATGACATTGGGACATAATAGTAATATTTTCGTCTTTTGCCCTTCGGCCGGGTCTGAAACTCGCACGGTTTTCTCTTTTGTTCTGTAGATCAACTTACACGCCCACCTCGTCGTCGCGTTATCACCACTGATATTATTGTTTTGTGATATCGACTATCGAGGCATCCAGACATATGACGCTTTCTTAACATCGTCATTAAAACTCGGATAAGTCGTCAGTGTTATAATATATTTATTCAGTAGAGCAGTACTGCAGTAGACATTTTACTTGCGGTTAGGTACTACTGCGCTAAAACACGCCTATTGTTATTTGTTGTATATTATAGCAATTATATTACTACCGTCGAAGCGTCGTCGAACCCATGTACCCAACACTTAGTTATCTATAAAAGATAGTATACATACACATTACACACGCACAAATCCGAGCGTTTTGTGTCATTCAACGGCGTCTGTGGTTTTATAGAGCATATTATTATATTAATTTTTATCTAATCTACGAAACGAATATAAAATTCTGCCCACTGGAATTCGAAGGTAGGTAATAACAATACCTAGTTTTATTATAATATTATTTTAATTACGCGTATCGATTACTGCAATTGCGGTTAATATAAAATGTCGGTGGCGCGGGCTCCTTCGCACAGACACTCTATGTGTTTAGCACGGTGCACATTCGTAGTCCGGTCGTTGGTCAGACAACAACGAAAAAATCACCATCACTATTATCGACGCAACTTGGAACTAGACTCGGAGGAGATGAGTACGTCTATGAGGTTCTGTCGACTGCGATTTTCGACCGTGGCCCAGTATTGACCGACTAGAATGTGTCGTTTACCTTACCTACTAAATAATAATAATAATAAGGATAATGATGATATAAATCTGTTTTTTTACTATTGTGTCCACTCTTGCCCTCATCATATATGTTATGCTATAGTACACATTTGTTTCAGCAGCGTACGGACCCTTGTTCTACACTCACCGCAGTGGTGCGATGAGCGGTCAACATTTGGCAGATGGTGCTGTCGACACCAGCAATAGTGGAAATCATAGTCCAGTCGACATTAAATCACCTACATCAATTGAAAAGCAACACAGTTACGAGCAAATCGATCATGCTCATTTTTTGGCCAATGACATCGGCACTCTTTATCTCAATGACAGGTACAAATGTCAAAGTTCATGTTTAAATACAACTTACCAATACATTTTTAAATATATTTGGCCACTTACTGAAAATATTTTAATGATTTTATGAATACTTAGGCACCTACTTATATTTTGCAGTTTGTAAAAACTCAAAAGTAATGAAAAAAATAAGACTATTAATTTTAAAGAAATCAGTATTTAAATTAAAAGTGATGAGTAGTAGGTACCATCAGTTATATTTTACAATTTAATTAACATAATATTTTCAATTTTATTTGTTTGGTTAAAATAATTGTTGATCAGTATTTTATTAAAGTACATGCATTTAATAGCTATAATGATGAAATACTTCGTGAAATAGTTATTATATTGATAAATATATTTAAGAGGACATAAGCTCACTGTTTTTTTTCTCTGGCCTATGGGTAACATAAACAAAACGCATTTTCTTTTATGTTTTTGAGTAATCTCACCCATTTCAAAAACGACTAAGAGTAATATTTTACATATTGATTTGTCTATAAATTGTCTCAAAACAATTTAAACATAATTTAAACTTTCAATTTTTTCTTTTGAAAATAAAGTAAACTGATTTTTCATACCCTTCATCCTCTATAATTGTTGTAACAGGCAAATTACTTTAAGATAACTCAAAAATTATAAAAAAAAAAATTTTAGGTGTTTTATCTATGTTGTGGGTGGGTCTGAGAGAGAAAACAAATATTGCTCTGACATCCTTTTAATAAAAAATAATAAATATTTTATGTTTCAACTTTGTAGATTTTTAATTGTAATGTGTTGGTTTATAGGTTTTCTGATGTTGTGTTGGTAGTGAATGGTGAACGTTTTCATGCTCACAGAGTAGTGTTGGCTTCAAGAAGTGATTATTTTAGGTAATATAATTTATGCTTTGAAAAAAATGATATATTTTTAAATTACAAGTTGTTAACCTTCTATTCATATTCCTGTATTTAAGGAAAACAACAACACATTTTTAAATATAAACCGTAAAATACAATCATTATACAAATATTTAATTTAAAAATAACGAGTTAAGAAGTCCTTATTGTATTTGTAGGAATTTGATTTAATGGAATTGTTATTTTTACCCCTCCTGATGTTTATTTATTATTATGTAAATGTCCATAGGCTTGAGTACCATAAAAAATATTAGATTTATTTAGATTTTGTTACTGTCATTTGTGCGTTTTACATTGCTATTTTTTCATTTTAAAATTCCATCTTTACAAGATAAATATTATTTATTCAATATTAAAAACAAGTGTTGTAATACCACTAATTTGTATTAATGGAGATTTTGTATTATCTATTAATTATTATAATCAATCAAATATTTTTGATTTGTTGGATACCTACATAATTCTATATACTTTGAACTCTATTATTATGTTTGTTTAATGTTAGATTTAGATTAATAATGTTTAGTTTTTTATCACAATTTTTGGTAACTGAACAATTGTGTTTATTAATGCTTTGTTCAATCATTTTTCTATTTAACATATTATTATTTTCTGAAGTATAAATGTTAGAGTAAGGGTATATTTAATATAACTGTTTCAAATTGTTGTTTTTTAAGTACCAAGGAGGCTTAGTACTGTCTATTGCTTACCTGATTTCTAGCCTGAGATTCTTTCAGATTCTAAGCTGAGCAATGAATACAATAGTTATACAAAGATAAATTGTTGTGCCTGTTCAAAGTAGGAATTCCCATTATTTTTAAAAATAAATTTTAAAAAATGTTCCCAACCCCTGTTATTGAGACAATTCATTTTATTATTATGTTGTAATTCAAAAATAAATAAACGTTAATATTTTAATTTTTCCACTATTAGTTTTTTTTTTTTAAGTGTTGATAGACATTTTTTTCTTAATCAAAGAGCTTGAAAATTGGATAGTAGTTTTATCATAAGTTATTTTCTTATAGAAATTAAAAAAATATATAAATATATAGTCAATATTTTTTTTAAGAGATAGTAAATCGGATTTTGATTCCAAACAATTATCATAGTTATAATATACCTAATATACAAAAAAAGTGATTCCATTCAAAATATATTTCTACATTGTTAGAAAGCTTGGACATTTTTTCTATGCTAGAATTGAAGGCATAAATGCTATTTTGTTATTGACTAGATAAAATTAAATACCAACATTTATATACAATGTTATTTTTACATTTATTATAAGATCTAAGAATTAAGAATTTAGAATTAAATTCATTAATTGTATTCATTCTTTTAGGATATGATTAACTCAACAAGATTTTATTTTTATTAAAAAAAAAAGGTAATAGTTATTTTAAAATGAAGATATTAATTAGTGAATTCGGTATTAGAACTATAATTACTATTTTTTTTCGACGAGCTTATGTTTTAGGTACATTGGTATAATTTTGATAATATACTTCTAAATGCAGTGAGTTTTCACTGTTAAAAACAATTTCATACAATTATGATTGGGATGGCTTACAGTTTTGATATGCTCCATTATATCTGTAATTTGAATTTATAGTAACCTTAATTCAATTAAATTTCAAATAAGTTGTAAAGAAATTGTAACTATAGTGATCATAATATCATACTCACAAATATGCCTTGACATTTTGACTTTTAGCCAAATATCCATTGGACTTTCTTCAAAATGTATACACTTAATTTTGTAAAATGTAACTAATAATAAGTTGTACACAATAAAATATCATTGAATAATATAATTTGTCAAGTTTGACAATAGAAATTGTTAACATACCAATATACCATATTATATCTTATTGTGTTTTAAAAAACGGTTACAGAGTATTGACCATGAAAACGATCAATACTGTTACCCTTTGTGGGCATATGTTTAAATAGTATAACTTTTATTTTACAATTGTTTATCACCTGTTATTTAATATAAAATGAATTTTACTAATGTATATTTCAGTATTTTGCAGTCATATTAAATAATTAAATAAAAATAATACATAGGTAGTTAACAGGGGTTAATAGGGGTTTGTTATAGATGTTTCAAATTCTTGTGCTATTTATAAATGTATCATATTGTTTATACTATAAGAAAGTTAATATATATTTTAGTTCAAAATAACAACTCTTCTGATTAATCTATTTTTTTTAAAATTTGTTTTATATTATTCTCAGTTAAGTACTTGAATTAATTGTATTGAAATAATGTTTGTAGCCAAACTTATGATTCTTGTTTTGAATATTTTCGTTAATTTATTTGATTTACAGAGCGTTGCTGTATGGTGGTCTCAAAGAATCTCATCAACCAGAAGTGGAAATCACCGAAGCTTCAGTTAATTCATTTAAAAAGCTTCTTGAATATATTTACTCGGGCCGCATGAACTTAAGTATATTGAAGGTGAATTTTTAATAATCAAATTAAAATAAATTGTGTAAAACATTTTGTGATAAGTGATAAGTTAATTATTATGTTTCAGGATGAAGTAATTTTAGAAATATTTAGTCTTTCCAATTTATTTGGCTTTACCAATTTGGAACTATCGCTGTGCAAGTATTTACGCAGTAATATCAATGTTTACAATGTGTGCTCCATGTTTGCTGCAGCACGTTTATATCAGCATAAAGAGTTAGTTACGGAAGCCTTGAACTTTACTGACTATCATGCATTGGAAGTACTTCAATCTGAAGCTTTTTTATCTCTTTCATCTGTACGTTATATTAGATAATTATATTGTTGTATGATAATAAGTTTATAAAATTAATTTTAGGAAGCACTTCAAGAAGTACTTAATAGAGATTCATTGTACGCTTACGAATTAGATATATTTCGGGCGGTTTGTCGTTGGATTAAGGCAAATCAAGATGATGAAGATCCTGAGGTTAAAATTAAAGTTTTGTCTGCTGTCAGATATCCCCTGATGAGTCTAGATGAATTGCTTTCCGTTGTGAGGGAATCACAACTTGTAAGTTCTGATAATATTTTGGATGCCATACAACTACGAAATACATTACCTTCGCATAAACTCAAATTTAGAGGACAGCTAAGTATGCATATTTTGTTTACTTTTTTAAATTGACACTTATTTTGTTAGTTTGGTTAATAATAATTTTATAAAATTATTCATTTTATTTTAGAACCTAATCTAAATATTGCTCATCCTTCACAAGGCGCTCAGGTAATGCAGGGAGAAATGCGTTCAGCATTATTAGAATCTGATTCTAGTGGTCATGATCATGAGCGGGGATGTACTAGGCATTTAATTAATGAAAGCGACAGTGGTATTATGATAAAGCTTGGTCATCCTTCAATTATTAATTATATAAAAATGCAACTATGGGATAAGGATCTTAGGTAAAGTAATATATTTTTTTTTTCAAATTATAAAGATTTATTTATTTATATGTTGTTTGTAATTAAGGTCCTATTCTTATTACATTGAGGTATCAATGGACCAGCATGATTGGGTGCGTGCTATTGATCATTCAAATTATTATTGTCGATCAACTCAGCGTTTGTGGATACATCCTCGAGTAGTGCAATACATTCGTATAGTGGGTACCAATAACACTGTTAATAAATGTTTCCATGCAGTGTCAATGGAAATCATGTACAATTCTGAAGAAATGCATTTGGTTGACATTGAAAAAGGATTAGTAGGTATGTGCATTTTAATGAATAGAATAAAAAAACTATACATCATATTATTGTTAATTGTCATTAGATTTACATACAATAATACTAGACATGGACTATCTATTATTTTCTAGAAATTTTTGTTAGAGAAGTTCTTAAGATTTGTGTTGAAGAAACTATTTTAACAGATAAAAATATATTTTATAAGTAATACAGTATAATAAAATAATAATAAAAATTTAAGCTAATATTAAGAGTTGTTAATGATCTCTTCTCAAAGTTGGACAGTGTCCTATTTTAATGTAGGTAAACATTTTGAATAACTCTAGGCATTAGTATAAGTCAGCCTTCTGACATTAGATTAATAACAGGTACAAAAAAAAACTATAGACTCAATAGATCACATATTGAGAAATAGCTGTAACATTTTTTAATGTTACGCTTCAATACAGTTATTTATAATTAGAAGTACTAAACAGTTACTTAGTTGTTTTTATTGTTTTTTACATGTGTAATACAGAACATTTTTTGTTATAATGTCCATTTAAAACAATAGTTCTCTACTAGAAATATTAATCAAAACCTTTTAAACGTTGTATATGTCTGTTTAAAATTTGTATTGATTCTTAAAATATAATTTATTTAAAATCCTAAAAATGTGTGTTTAAACACACCTTAGTTAGTTTGAAGTACTGTGCATATTCTAATTAGGTTTATCAAATTATAGTACCAAAATATAATGTTGCTACAATGGCCATGAATGCTATTGTGATCGATGGAGTGAGTCGATGTCGAAATTCATTATTGGATGGCAACTCTAAAGATTATGACTGGGATTGCGGATACACATGTCATCAATTGGGTTCTGGATGCATACTTGTTCAACTTGGTCAACCCTATATGCTTAGTTCAATGAGGTAGGTAGTAATCATTATTTATTTCACAGTTAACTGCTTCAACTATTCTTTGAGTTAGCTTAAAGTGATTGCTAACTTACTTATAGTTAAAAGCTAAATTAAATCCGTTAGGCGTATCAGCAACATACACTAAAAGTTTTGGTTGTTGATGTTTCCAAAGGAACATAATGAAGTTTATAAAATGTTTATAAAATGTTTATAAAATTAATGATTTATTGACAATTACAGAATGCTACTTTGGGATTGTGATGACCGCTACTATAGTTACTACGTTGAAGTGTCAGTTAACATGTGGGATTGGGAATTGATTGTTGACAAATCAAAAGAGCTAGTTCGATCTTGGCAACTTTTGCAGTTCAACTCTCGGCCCGTTGTATTTATTCGTATAACTGGTACATATAATTCAGCTAATGAGGTAGGTCAGGTCTAGTAGAGTTGTAAAAATTTCTAAATATTTCTAAATATTTGAATGGTAAATTCTTTCTTTATAGGTTTTTCACTGTGTTCATCTAGAGGCACCAGCTCAGGTTCCATTAGACTTAAATACAGTTGAAGTCGAACAGGAAATTTCAAATTTACAAGTAACAAAAAAAATAGTAAGTGAAAATACTGCATAATATGAGTTAAGGTACAATATTATCTATTTATTATAACTTTAACAAAGTTTGATACTATATCCTTTGGAAAAACTGGTTACTTATGAGTAAAATCCGGATATATAGTTAGTGAGTTTATGCAGTCTTACAAGAATAAATAATGTGAACTATTCATTAAACACAAAGTTCATTGGAGAAAGTTTTATTTCCATATTTGATGATATTTTATGGGTTAAGGAATATTTAGATTATTTATTATTATATTTTGGGATATTTTGTAAATAATTATGAAAAAAAAATATTAATTTATTTTGCTTTTAAAATTACCTTTGTTATTAATTTTAATATTACAGTACCTGAAAAAATATTTTACCAATATATTTTTTTTTTATAAATCATTTTGATAAAAAAAATCATGCGTTGGTATTAGTATTATTATTTAAGTTTATAAAAAAAAAACCCATTAATTATAAACCCCTTTTAAAACAATGAATGGAATCTTTCTCAAAAGATAGTGTTATAACTGTTACAATTGAGTATAGACTAGAGTGCTATTTTATAATTCCATCATGCAAATGGATAAAAGACTTAAAAAAGAAAAAAAAATTATTATGTATAATGTAAAGTTTATTGATTATTTTTGTATATTTTTCTAATTTTTAAGAGAATATATAAAGAATATTTGTAGGTTTTTTTGAGAATATTATATTAATATATTATATTATATATATATGAGTATGCAGTGGCTGCTCGTGGACCTTTAGAAAATTAGTTCATAGTTTCAAAATGTATTATACAATTTTTATAAACATATAGAAATAATTGATTGATGAAAATGGTGGCTATGTATCATACAATGTACAATTATAAATATTAAATAATATTATAAACAAGACTGGTTTGTGCACAATATACAGGGTGATCCAACAAGTGAAGTTTTTCAATATCTGATTTTTGGAGTCTTTAAATATACTCAAAGATCATATTTTCATATTCTTGAGATTTTTTGTACCACTACAGGAGTGTCATGTGGCGATACAAACTTTTGTTTTTCAAATGGAAACTTCACTTTTTTCTGTAAATTATTTAGTGGATAGTTTTTTTGAGAATTTTGATGTATTGGAATCAAAATTCGAACAAGTAGTTTTCTAGTTATTACACATTTTGTGCTAATTATAATATAGTTTATAATAGGGAAGAAGGATATGCTTATACAGTATACGTTGTTATCTATAGTCTATACACATAATACAAAATAATACGCCATTTTATATTTATTTAGTCAAACACTTAGGTAAATAGCAAGTAAAATCCTTCTTCGTGTATTTAGTTATTTCTCTTATTCCATGTGTAGAACTGTATAAACATATCCCTATTATGGACTATTATCCTTAGTACAAATTGTCCAAAAACTAGGAAACCACTCGTTCGAATTTTGATTTCGATACATCAAAATTCTCAAAAAAATTATCCACTAAATAATTAAAAGAAAAAAAAGTGAGGTTCTCATTTGAAAAACAAAGGTTTGTATCACCACAGGATACTCCTTAAGTGGTACAAAAAATCTCAAGAATATGAAAATATGGTCATTGAGTATATTTAAAGATTCCAAAAATCAGATTTTGAAAAACTTCATTATTAAAGAAAAAAAGGGGGTGAGCATACATGTTGGGTCATCCTGTATATTAATATTGGTAAATTGTAGGTGGCTGTTTTGAGTTATGTTGTAATTTTAAGCTGTTTAAATTATGTACAATGTGGTGAACTATCTATAATCTATGTCACTCAGCTGCTGCAACTGTTTTAGTTATCCAATCTCCATCTGACAATTGCATATATTAAATATATATTTTTATATAATCTACTACTGTAGCTGTAATTTAAATAACTTATAATTAAACAATGTACAGTAATCACTGTTTTTAATCTGGATTGTTACATATTATTATGAACAAAATTCTTAGGACCGAATAAAACATTATTGCTAAGACATATAGCTTAATCTGGAAAAAAACGTCTGCCCAATTAAGTGTTATATTATCTTTATACAGATCCAATTGTCAATAGATGTTGAACATTATTATTATTATAATATGATGTGGATAAATTGTTTAGGTTGGATTATTCCTTGATGTTTTTGATAAAAAAATATTACAATCCACTGTGTCAAGGCAGTGATAAATATTTTTCATTTTTACCTATAAAACCTGTTGTTTGTAATAAATATATGAAAATTATAAACATTTTTGCAATCTATGTTTTTAGAACAGTAATGTATCAGATGAGCCCGAGTCAATGGAAACACCACCAACCACAGCAGCAGAAACGTCAACCGCTGCAACGGACGGCCTGACCGTTTAAACCATCCATTTTACTACATCATTTGCTAATGTTCCTCGCGTATTTTCCATAATAGACTGAATGTTATATCAAATTGTTATTTATTTATTTTTTCGTTTAAATTATACAGTTATTAACTTTTCGCTATTTGTATTTGTAAAATTTCCATTTTTATAAATGGTTAATTGTTTTTAAATATATATTACAATTTATTTTAAGTTAACAGTTATCTTCTGTTCTATATATTTATTAAAAATAATTATTTTATATTCTTGCACTACACTTTCTTATGTTCTGTAAAAATAACTTGTATGTATAATGTATTATTTTTAAAATAAACAACTATTTGTAATGATTTTAACTTAAAATATGTTTTTTGTCTTTGCTGCTTATATAAAAATATATATTTTTGTCCAATTTTTCAATGTACAATTTTTTCATTGTAGTTTTATTCTACAAGGTAGGCAATGTGGACTGGATACAATTATAGCTAATTAAATTCTAAAAATAAATTCAAACAGGAATAGTTTTGCTAGCTTAGTTCATCATTACTGTATGTTAGTTTTGAATTCAACGATATCATTCTGAATAAAGGAGGCAGTTAATTCAAACTTCAAATGATTATTACATATTTCTCTGCATATGTTTTTTTGATGTTTTAAATTTCTACATAAACCACTAAAGATGAACATTGTAACACATTTTAAAATCTTAAAACCAGAAATAACCTAAACAAATTTGAAAATTGGGTGTTTACTGTGAAGGTTAGGTAGTTTATTTATAAATAACATTGTGTAAATAGAATGATAGAATATTATAAGTAATGGTGGAATTTTAAAGGTTGCAAGTAGGTATGATTAAACATTATTTTAATTATAAGTTATAACAAATTAAATTATATTCTTTGATAAAAATGTTTCTTTTTCTTTTCATTAATATACATTTTTTTTTCAAAATTTAATTTCAAACCCTCATATCCTAACAAATATATTAATGTTGAACAACATTTTAAATTTGTGTAAAAACTGATGCAGAATTGTTGAATGACAGCAACTGCTAAACTTAAATGTCTAATTATCCGTGTTTATAGTTATTTTCCAATTCAAAACTACTAACAAAAACCTTAGCCAGGGGAGGTTTATACAAATGTATTGTTAGTACCTAGTTACTGACTATTGACTACTAACTAGTAACTCCCAAGTCTGAACGAGTGGAAAGGAAATTGGTTTTTTGTTGACTAATTTTCGATGTTTTTCATTTGTACTTTGTATAGCAAGAGTAGGGGGGTGTTTTGGGAATATTAAGAGACACCCCCACATTGACCACAAAACGCGTAACACGTACACTATACGATTGTAATTTATACAAAACACGTTGTCATAATATTATGTGGTTCAACCGTATAATAGTTTATATCATTTATGATACGAAGATTGATGACCGTAACCACGGCGAAGAGTGTGTAAAGCCCTCCCCCACATGTTATATATTTAAATATAACAATTAAAACGCCCCATAAAAAAATCCTGTCTACACTTCTGTTTACACTTATAGTAGATACCTAAATCCCATTTATAACTATTCGTATACCTATCATCTGCAGAAGAGCCGCAGCAGACATAATAATATAATAACAATATCGTTTTGTAGGACTTTCGGTCCTCGTACCGAGTAGTATCGGAGCTTACCGTTCCCCGAGGCCTATGTGCTTCGGAGCGTGTACAACTGTACAATATATATAAATTATAATATAATTTATAATATGCATGCACTTACTATAACCGCATGAGCATAGTCCATATATAGAGCGAAATACTTACAACTCGCTTATTATAAAATTACAATGTAATAACGCGCTGCAAATAGCCCTCGGCCGCAGTGCGAAGGCCGGATTTAACGTAGGTATAGAAACGCGGAGCGTGGCACTCGAGCGGGAATTATTGCTCCTTTATCCTTCGGGGAATTTCCCCAGGACAAAAGGGTAGTCGAGTTGTTCGGCGTAAACGGTGCAGCGTAATAATACATTATACGCGCACGGATTCAATGTTTTAAAACAATAATCATAGCGACACCAGGCTTGGATAGGGACTGTGACGCTCGAGGATAATATGATACGCGCATTACGTATAATATATACCCACATATACGTCTTACGGATATTATAATATTGTATTAAACAGAAGAAAGAAGAATTTTGTCTATTATACAATCCATCGTATTCTTTGGTTAGGTATATTGTAGTAACGCAAAAATAAAGTAAACGAAAATTATAAAAGAATAAAACAAGCGGAGAATCACCGTAAATTTAAATACGACGCCTGCCGCGATACTAATATTTAAAATTATCTCAATTTACGCTATTACCTTCCTCTCGATCGTCGGAGGGCTCTCGAGGTCGTGTATTCGAGAATTTGATCAGAATATACACTGTACAATATAAATGCAGCCAATGTTAATATATTTTATAATAAATAATAATACGCGTTTTACCTGACCCGCAGCTGTCTCTGGGTTATGCTGTAGGAGTTTTAGGTGACACGAACCAACTACTCGAATCAAAATAATAAAACGCACTGATTGTTGCTCGTCACCAGGAGTCCACGTTGTCGCTCGTAGAATTCGGTATAGAGAGGTTGTTAATCTGTTCGGCGGTGCGCATGCACTCGCGAGAGGTTGTTATTATTGAATTGGAGAGAGGTGCTCATGCACTGCAGTCGAAGGGACGATCCGGTTGTGCCGACCAGAGAGTGATATAGGCGGCTTCGTCAAGAGGCCGTTTTGTACATCAGATTTCTCTCCTGTGACAAGCACCTTCTTTACCATACCTTTTCTCCGGCGGCACGCAAGAAAGCCACACACGCCTTACGCTCTACAGTTGCAAACACATAGGTACGCGTCGATTTCTCAATCCCTGATCGTTTATGATATAATTAGACTATTTTGTCTGTGACAATGCGATTTATTGGGGTCTGGAGATTTCCGATTTCTACGTGCGACAGTCCGGCCGTTATTTATTTATTCGTTACGTTTTAAAGAATATTGTTATAATGACGTGTGAGCACACACCATTACAGTATGTGCTTATAATATTAAAGAATACGAGTCTATTATAATATAGTATCGTGATCTTCATAAGCCCTCGCAGTCGAGTAGTGTACCGGTCGAGTGGCGTCTTACATTCTGTGTGGTGCTATAATATATGAATGTATTGATCATACAATGGCGTGTGATTATTTTTATTTTCATTATTTTTGAAATGAATTTTCTTCGGCGAGGTAGCGCATGTCGGATTCACGAGCTCAGCTTTTTCGACCAAAAAGCGTTGACCGCATATAGCTTACTCGACATGGGCCCGAACAGACGATCGGATTTGCCGGCCGGTCACCGCGTGTTCCTACTAAGCTCGGTAAATATGCTGGAGCTGATGAACTGGGCGAACTGACCAGCCGGTAAAAAAAACGTATCTGTCCGTTTACCACAATCGAATTCTATAGTTATTTAAAAAAAAACCCAGACGGTTTAGATGCCTGCTGACAAAATCCGGTGATATACAATCTATCTATCTATCTATACGCTATATATATATATATATACTATTATATAAAATGGTAAGGGTTTTCTTAGACCCCGCTGACCGAGAAAACTACCGAACCGATTTGGCTGAAATTTTTTACTGTTATACTTGACAGTCCGCTGGAGGTCACAGGACCACTTTTGCTTAGAAAAATCCACCAGAAAGTAGGAAATATGGATGTCAAAAATACAACAATCTGTACAATCTGTATAGAAAAAAATAAACTAAATAATAAAAAGTTGTTGTTGCAGATTAAAATAATAATAGTTGCTATTGGTTAATCGGGCATGTTTGTTTATTTGAGTTATTATTTTTCGTGAATTACGTGTACGCCATTTACGAGCATAATTTGTGCTTACTTTTTGATTATTCTTATGAGTTAAATTTCGGGCAAGTGGCTAATTCATCATCATGCCAAGAGCGCCAAGAGCATACATTGGCAGAAGAACTGCCAATGCTACTCGAATGTATAACAGAATGTATAACACAAGTACACAACAGAACGTTCTCAAACACTTGCACAGGAGCAACGTAACACTTTGAGTATGAAATCAGCGTTTAATTATCAATCCGAGATTGATTATGTAAATATTAAAGCTCTTCAAATAGGACCAATGACGATATTATGTCCTAAGTGCCATGCAAAAAAATGGAAAGATGAAACCAATGGACTTTGCTGCGCTGACGGTAAAGTTGTTTTACAACAATTTGAGGATCTTCCAGAATTAATTTATTTTTATTTTTATTTTATTTTTTATTTTTTAAAGCTAGAAAAATTAATGTAATTATTTATACATATATTGTATTTATTATATTANGTAATTATTTATACATATATTGTATTTATTATATTATATATTATTTATATAAGTTTGTGTCGTTTATATTTGGTACATTTAACGGGTAACGAAGTACACGGGATCAGCTAGTTATACAAATAATATGGTAATAAATAATAATCAATTTGTCTTATCTTTGTAAAATATTAATAATAGGTACCTACATTCATTTCAATTGAAAATTTACTTTTTTCATTTTTTTATTACAAGCTTAATATTTGACCGGCATGAACCTTTTTTTCATACCGTCTGTAAAGAAGTTTCACTTCTTCATCCAAGCATCCAATTGCAACACTCATGATTTTTTTGATATTTTGTGTCTGTGTACACCAGACAAATGGCAAACCTTTTTGTACCAGCGTGTCAAATAAAAATTGTGGTTGGATTTTGTTTTCTCTGCAGCGTGTCAACTAGTTCGATAACCATTCAATTTTTTTTTTCAAAAACTTTAATATTATCAAACTTTTACACATTTCTGTGTGTCACTAAAATAGTGTGCGCTTGTCACTCTGTGACACGTGCGTTATAGGTTCGCCATCTCTGGTGTGCACGGTAAGTAGCCGAAGTAATGCTTCGATTTTTAGCTTCAAATATCTTTTTCGATGAGAAAACGAATCTAGATGGTGGATTCGGATAACTTTAACTTTCACACTAAATTGATTTTCAATAAAATTTAGGTATTGTGATTCCGTCTCGGTGTAACTCTA